CCCGGCCCGCGGGTGGCCTGTGAGGTTTGACCCGCGACCTGCGTTTAATGTAAAAATCCAACCGTGTTTTCGAATAAGCTACTTAAACGCGTTTTCCAAACAGTGAGGCAACCCGCCCACACTTATAATCGGGCCCTAAGAAATTAATCATTACAGTAGATCTCTCTCTATCACATACCTTCTACAAGTCTTTTTCTTAATTGAGATAAGAAAGCCTCTAATTAACAAACAAAGTTTATGAATTTATAATTATAAGAGTAAAATTCAGTTAAGATGATGATCACCACATATCAGAGAAGTCTTGGGATCGTTCATTGTAAATAAATATTTTTCAAAATTGCATGCCTTGAAATGCCTTGGAATTTAAATATGACATCAAACATATATGGATTCATTTCAATTTACACTGAATCTTGGAAGCTAGAAATCTTATAGTACCTAATGAATTTAAAGCATTCAAAAGAATACAAAACATCAAGCAAAAGCTCACCAAATTAACTTGTCAAACGGAGTAGTTCACTATGACCAGTAGCAGAGATGGATCCAGAGAAAATTCAGAGAGAGAGAGAGAGAGAGAGAGAGATGTGGGCTAAGAAAACAATGTTGGTTGGATGATGCAATGGATTGGAGGATATAAATTCTAAAGAGTGGAGATATATACATTTATATATACATCTAAAGAAATGGTAGAGCTGTAGCAATTGATTGCGCGTGGGTGGGGGTGGCAAGAAGAATGAAAGCGAAGTTTAGAGAGAGAAAGAGAGACGGTTGGAGATTTGGACGGCGGGACAGCAATATATCCTTACGCCACCACACACACACATTCTCTCTCTCTCTCTCTCTCTCTCTCTCTCTCTCAAAAAATAACCGAGCTGCAAGGTTTTGCTACTCCATTGCTTGCTTATACTTAATTCATAATAGGTATTTTAGCCGACCATGTCTTTTGCCACTATAAGGAGGTTATTTGATTTAAATACATTATATTTATTTGTGTTGTAAATGAGTAGTATTATGTTTTATATTCTAAATATGAAAATAATAGCCCTTTTATTTTTCTTAATACAAAGATATTTGTCTTTAGTGATATGTGGAATTTATTATGAAGCTTTTTTATCTTCTATAAATATTCTTATGAAAATTAATTTGTAATAAACAAAGATTAGGTTCATAGAAAAATTGATGTTTATGATTATTTTAGCATATGAAAGAGAATTTCTAGTTATTTCAAAAATATGTTAGATTTTATTCTTGTTTTAAAAAATAAACTTTTGTAGTTATTGAAAGGATTTATACTACAAATATCCATGTTTAGTTTTATGTGATGAACTATATCTTTTTTATGAAGAAATGGCACACTTAATGTTGAATTTTTATCTCACTTTCAGTGAACCCAATCTATTGAAATTTTTTCTAGTATTGTGTTTTAGTCTTGTTTTTACATGCATAGTGCACAACTCTTATGTATTAACATATCTCACACCTAAACTTTTATATTTATACACATAACACTGAAAACTTTAATATCACATAAAAAATATAAATATTATCAATTTCTCAAAGGAAAAGATAAATTTTTGTGCAAGGATTTAAATCACTGAAGTGTTATGTAAGTGTACACTAATAAAAGACTCTTATGGGTTTGTGCATTTGTTAACAGCTCTCACAAGCCTCTGGAGCTGTATTTTCCAAAATATATCCGGTAGACAACACTTATCAAGTTGCTAAGGTTGACCTGCCGAGGTGATTCATTAATCTCACTTGTTGAAATGCCCCTTATCATTAAGATTGATGATCGTTAAAGAAGGGGCTTACATATACGTCCATTTTAGACCATTCGACAACCATGATATTTTCATCCTTTATTAGTGTTTCGTGGTTAGACTGCATACAATACTAAAATTGTTTAGTATGTTCTGGCTTCGTAACCTGAAGTGGAGGCATCAAAAAACTATCTAAAATCAATTTAAATAGATGCTCTCTCACTCTCTAAAGGGGATCTCACATCAAATGATTCTACTCATTCGCTTTTGCTTCCCTTCTAAGAATAGAGAGAGAATACCCAGTGCACACATCCATCGTCTTACACTATACCCTTTCTTCAAAGATCTCCTATGATTTGTATGAGCTCACCAAAGATACGAAATTCGATGTCCAAAGAGGATTCAACTTAATGAGAATATGAATGTTTTGGTGTAAGATATATAAATACATGAGAATTTTGCGCTAAATATGTAAAAATCCCTTTTTTCCCCTTGCTGATGTTAACAATGCTAATCATAAAACAGTAGCAATACGTTACTTCAATGTAGCAAATGTGGGCTACAAATCAATGTTTTAGAAAAAAATGTGACTAAGCATATACTTTTGAATTTTTTTTTTAATTTTTGTTCTGTTTTTTTACTTCACTGCATACTAAATTTCAAAATTTTATTTAAGTTCATTTAATTAGATGATGATAAGAGGGGTAGCACTTAATATTTTCACTAAGGATTTTTTTCTCTTGTTGGATTACAAATAAGCATAATTGAAACTGGCTCAAGAATTATTCAGCTGATTAGCCAAATCTAACATTTTTATTTGTATACCCGACCAAAGGAAAATATATTGAGATTTTCATATTTGTTTTATACTGATTTGATGATATTGCACTTTAAAGAAAGATATTTATGATATTTTGTTGCAGGTATGATGAATTATGGTCATTGGAGCAAAAAGATGCAAAAAGAAGCGAATTTGGAGCGAGAATGACCAAAATATGAAGATTTAAACTAGGGCGTCGACGACGAGAATTTCTCGAGAGTCCAAATCAAATATTTTAGAAGGCCCGCCGACGACACCCTTGAGGCCGCCGACGGCGAGATCGACGGTTATCTCAGCAGGTGCATTGAATGTGGATGATTTTTGGAGGGATGCTTAGGCAACTCTTGGAAAAACTCTTCTACAGCTTTAAAAAAAGATTTTGGCCAAAAAAGGAGGAGGCTATGGAGGTTCGAGAGGTCCAGGAGGTTCCAATAGTGTGTAGAGAGTTTAATTTAGGGTTAGATTGTGAGGAATTCTTTGAGAGATCATAAGAGTGGAGGGAAAGTGAGAGATTTCTTCCTCCTTGTCGTTTCGAAGAAGAATTCTGTGTGCTGTAAAGAAAGGAAGAGATTCAGAGGAACTTTGAGGAGTTTGCTTGGGGAGGAATTAGAGATAAGTGTTATTTACTTGCTGTAGTTTGTATGACTTTGCTTTTATATATAAATTCTGAGATTTGTCTTATCTTTCCCATGAGTTCTGAGTAGTTTTCTCTGTATTTCTCCCCAGACAAGTTTGTTCAATAATTACAATTCGAGTTTTGTCTTATCTTCCCCAGACAAATTAGGACTATTAGAAAACTTTTACTTGAATTGTAACTTATTTTCATATTTAGTTAACTGTTTTTCTGTGTACTGATTTCAATTGTATGTGTAAATTTAGACCTGCAAATCTTATACCCCAGGATTTAGAATTAGAACGCACTGTTAGAAGAATTAAAAGACTAAGAAGAGAACCTAGAAATCCTGACACAATGGAAAACAACATGAACAATCAAGGAATAGAAAATGAACACCAACCTAGACCTCTACGAGATTATGCAAATCCTACAACAGATGAAATTCACTTATCTACCCAAAATTCTGATGTAGCTGCTATTTCATTTAAGCTTAAACCTGCTATTATCCAAACGGTACAAAACAATCAATTCAGATGTACACCAAATAAAGATCCTAATTTACACCTCGCTAGTTTTTTAGAATTGTGTGCTACCTTTAAATATGATAGAGTTTCAAATGATGCTGTTAGACTTAGA